GGAGAAGCCTATATTTACAAGAAAGTGAGTGGGAGCTCTGTAGCATTTCTGATATTATATGTGGATGACATATTGCTGATTGGAAATGATATAGAATTTCTGGATAACATAAAGGGATACTTGAATAAAAGTTTTTCTATGAAAGACCTCGGTGAAGCTGCTTACATATTGGGCATCAAGATCTATAGAGATAGATCAAGATGCTTAATTGGACTTTCACAAAGCACATACCTTGACAAAGTTTTGAAAAAGTTCAAAATGGATCAAGCAAAGAAAGGGTTCTTGCCTGTGTTACAATGTGTGAAGTTGAGTAAGACTCAATGCCCGACCACTGCAGAAGATAGAGAGAACATGAAAGATGTTCCCTATGCTTCAGCCATAGGCTCTATCATGTATGCAATGTTGTGTACCAGACCTGATGTGTGCCTTGCTATAAGTCTAGCAGGGAGGTATCAAAGTAATCCAGGAGTGGATCACTGGACAACGGTCAAGAACATCCTAAAATACCTGAAAAGGACTAAGGATATGTTTCTCGTTTATGGAGGTGACAAAGAGCTCATCATAAATGGTTATGTTGACGCAAGCTTTGACACTGATCCGGACGATTCTAAATCGCAAATCGGATACGTGTTTATATTAAACGGTGGAGCTGTCAGTTGGTGCAGTTCTAAAGAAAGCGTCGTGGCGGGATCTACGTGTGGAGCGGAGTACATAGCTGCTTCGGAAGCAGCAAATGAAGGAGTCTGGATGAAGGAGTTCATATCCGATCTAGGTGTCATACCTAGTGAATCGGGTCCAATGAAAATCTTTTATGACAATACTAGTGCAATTGCCTTGGCAAAGGAATCCAGATTTCACAAGAGAACCAAGCACATCAAGAGACGCTTCAATTCCACCCGGGATTTAGTCCAGGTGAGAGACATAGAAATTTGCAAGATACATACGGATCTGAATGTTGCAGACCCGTTGACTAAGCCTCTTCCACGAGCAAAACATGACCAATACCAAGGCTCCATGGGTGTTAGAATCATTACTGTGTAATCTAGATTATTGACTCTAGTGCAAGTGGGAGACTGAAGGAAATATGCCCTAGAGGCAATAATAAAATTATTATTTATTTCCTTATTTCATGATAAATGTTTATTATTCATGCTAGAATTGTATTAACCGGAAACATAATACATGTGTGAATACATAGACAAACAGAGTGTCACTAGTATGCCTCTACTTGACTAGCTCGTTGATCAAAGATGGTTAAGTTTCCTAACCATAGACATGAGTTGTCATTTGATTAACGGGATCACATCATTAGGAGAATGATGTGATTGACTTGACCCATTCCATTAGCTTAGCACTTGATCGTTTAGTTTGTTGCTATTGCTTTCTTCATGACTTATACATGTTCCTATGACTATGAGATTACGCAACTCCCGTTTACCGGAGGAACACTTTGTGTGCCACCAAACGTCACAACTTAACTAGGTGATTATAAAGGTGCTCTACAGGTGTCTCCAAAGGTACTTGTTGGGTTGGCGTATTTCGAGATTAGGATTTGTCACTCCGATTGTCGGAGAGGTATCTCTAGGCCCACTCGGTAATGCACATCACTATAAGCCTTGCAAGCATTGCAACTAATGAGTTAGTTGCGGGATGATGTATTACGGAACGAGTAAAGGAACTTGCCGGTAACGAGATTGAACTAGGTATTGAGATACTGACGATCGAATCTCGGGCAAGTAACATACCGATGACAAAGGGAACAACGTATGTTGTTATGCGGTCTGACCGATAAAGATCTTCGTAGAATATGTAGGAGCCAATATGGGCATCCAGGTCCCGCTATTGGTTATTGACCAGAGAGGTGTCTCGGTCATGTCTACATAGTTCTCGAACCCGTAGGGTCCGCACGCTTAACGTTCGTTGACGATATAGTACTATATGAGTTATGTATGTTGGTGATCGAATGTTGTTCGAAGTCCGGGATGAGATCACGGACATGACGAGGAACTCCGGAATGGTCCAGAGATAAAGTTTGATATATGGGATAATAGTGTTTGGTCACCGGAAGGGTTCCGGAATTTACCGGAAGGGGTTCCGGATGTTTCCCGAAATGTTTGGGTACGAGAACACTTTATTTGGGCCAAAGGGGAAAGCCCACGAGGTTTTTGGAAAGCGCAAACGGAAGTTTTGCGGAGTCCAGAGGCCAGACGCCAGGGTCCCTGGTGTCTGGGTCCAGACGCCGGGAACCCTGGCGTGTGGCCCTGGAGTCTGAGAAGGACTCTTGCCTTTCGGGTGAAACCGACTTTGTGGAGGCTTTTACTCCAAGTTTCGACCCCAAGGCTCAACATATAAATAGAGGGGTAGGGCTAGCACCCAAGACACATCAAGAAACACCAAGCCGTGTGCCGGCAACCCCGTCCCCTCTAGTTTATCCTCCGTCCTAGTTTTCGTAGTGCTTAGGCGAAGCCCTGCGGAGATTGTTCTTCACCAACACCGTCACCACGCCGTCGTGCTGCCGAAACTCATCTACTACTTCTCCCCTCTTGCTGGATCGAGAAGGCGAGGACGTCACCAAGCCGAATGTGTGCAGAACTCGGAGGTGCCGTGCTTTCGGTACTTGGATTGGTCGGATCGTGAAGACGTACGACTACATCAACCGCGTTGATATAACGCTTCCGCGAATGGTCTACGAGGGTACGTAGACAACACTCTCCCCTCTCGTTGCTATGCATCACCATGATCTTGCGTGTGCGTAGGAAAATTTTGAAATTACTACGTTCCCCAACAGATTCACCTTTTGGTATGTCAAGTAGATGTCCCACGTGTCACTCGCCAAACGGACTCTTGACATGGTGATGTCCATAGGATGCTCCGCATCATTAGGTGAAGCCCTGTTCCGGTAGCATCATCATCACCATCATCACGCCGTCGTGCTGACGAAGCTCTCCCTCGACACTCTACTGGATCATGAGTTCGTGGGACGTCACCGAGCCGAATGCGTGCAGATCGCGGAGGTGCCGTACCTTCGGTACTAGGATCGGTCGATTGTGAAGACGTACGACTACATCAACCGCGTTGTCATAACGCTTCCGCTTACGGTCTACGACGGTACGTGGACAACACTCTCCCCTCTCGTTGCTATGCATCACCTTGATCTTGCGTGTGCGTAGGATTTTTTTTGAAATTACTGCGTTCTCCAACAATTCTGACACCATAATGGTTTCAGAGTGGTTCGGGTATTTTTCGGAGTACCGAGGGTTACCGGACCCCCCGGGGGAAAGTAATGGGTCTACATGGGCCATAGGGGAGAGGGGAGGCAGCCCACAAAGGGTGGCCGCGCCCCCTCCCATGGGGAGTCCGAATTGGACTAGGGGAAGGGGCATGCCCCCCTTTCCTTCTCCTCTTCACTTTCCTTTCCCCTTTCCCCCTCCGTAAGAAAGGAAGGGGGGTCGAATAGGACTTGGAGTCCGAATAAGTCCTACTCGGTTTCCCCCCATGGCGCGCCCCCTCTAGGCCGGCGGCCTCCTCCCCTCCTCCTTTATATACGGGGGCAGGGGGCACCCCAAAGCACATCAATTGTTCTTAGCCATGTGCGGTGCCCCCTCCATAGTTTACTCCTCCGGTCAAAGCGTCGTAGTGCTTAAGCGAAGCCTTGCGCGGATCACATCACCATCACCATCACCACGCCATCGTGCCGACGAAACTCTCCCTCGACACTTTGTTGGATCAAGAGTTCGAGGGACGTCATCGAGCTGAATGTGTGCTGAACTCGCAGGTGACGTACGCTCGGTACTTGATTGGTTGGATTGCGAAGATGTTCGACTACATCAACCGCGTTAACCTAACGCTTCCGCTTCCGGTCTACGAGGGTACATGCACACACTCTCCCCCTCTCGTTGCTATGCATCTCCTACATAGATCTTGCGTGATCGTAGGATTTTTTTTTGAAATTGCATCCTACGTTTCCTAACGCCTCTGTCATCAAGTACAACGCTACAACAAAAGGCAATCAACGTGGCCCGCAGGCGACGAGCCCTACCTATCAGCCGGATTCTCGGCAACCGGCGGGGGCCTCCATAGGCGGGCCCCAGCAGCCGGCGGAGAAACCAACGACCATACACACTGACGTTCGGGTCCTACACCCAGTCGTATTACCATTGTACCCATGGGGGTTGGCCTATAAAACTCCCCAGGCCTCACCCATGCAAAGGGTTCAGCCCTCATTCCACCCACACACACCATAGCTAGGAGAAGCAAGGTAGCAGCTCTACCCTTCTCCCCCTAGCTCAAGGAGCAACCTTGTAGCCACTATTTGATCATAGTCATCATGCGGAGACCCCGCAGAGCAGGACTAGAGGTGTTATCTCTCCGGAGAGCCCTGAACCTGGGTACGTCTCGTGTGCGATCGAGCTCGTGCTCACTCCCGCCTCCAGGGCCGACGACGTCCTCTTGGCCCCATCCATGATAAGCCACCCCTGGCATCTGAACGTGAGAATACCACGGCAAAGAAACCTAGCTGGCTTGGTCTCGTCTCGCGCGCTACAAGCCCGACTTGTCGCTGCTCTATGGTTCGATTCCAGTTCCTTTATTTTTACTCTACATTATTCCTTTCTGTGTTTAACTGACAAGTAGGACACACACATTACATAGGGAGCTTATGTGGGCATTAATAACAGGAAATAAACGGCATGTGTCAAATTTGACGGAAAATGTATGAATATGTGCTGTTACGAAAGTTGTTGTACCATTTTTTATGGGTTTTTAAAGATTATGTATGATATTGTTACTGTATTGCAAATTTATGTATTATGGATGTAATTAACTTGTTGACATTATACGGGGTCCGATAGACATGCTCTTTGGACCGGACATGTACTTTACAGTATCTTTTTTGTTTGTCGTCCACCTCGACCTCCGCCTCGCGAGATCTCTAACTCCAATGGCGCCCGCCTCCTCCTAAACCTAGCCCCAACCCGGCCACCAAGTAGAAACCGGCGACCATGTCGACCGATAGGGAGAAGGAGCGGGAGGCGGAGCTGGAGGGCGCCATGTATACCAACTGCCTCCTCCTCGGCCTCGATCCAGTCGTCCTCGGCTCCCCCGCCGGCGCGGCCTCTCCTCGCGTCGGCCTCTTCCGGCACTCCAACCCTCGCCTCGGCGAACAGCTCCTCTACTTCCTCCTATCCTCACTCCGCGGCCCCGCGCAGTCCGCCAAGGCACGCACGCACGCGCTCTCAAATCCTCCTCAGCCTCTCCGGCTCTTCGCTATTTTACCCCGTTCGCTGGTATTCCTTTTCCGGTTCTTTTGAGATATATGTTTCCTGAGTGTGATTCTCCGTTGCACAGGACTTCGACAAAGTGTGGCCGATCTTTGATTCCGCGCAGTCCAGGGAGTTCCGCAAGGTTGGATTTTGCAGATTTGCTTAGCTTTTCTGATAATTGGGTGCACGCGAAAGCAGCCTTGTTTTGACTTGTGGTTTCGTTGCTTGGTTAGATCGTACAATGTATCATCAGCGAGCTGGAGCAGCAGGGAGCGCTGCCACGGAGCAACTCCAGGGTTTCGTCTCTCGCCACCTGCTGCGGGCCTAGGTCAGTACACATGGATGCCTGTAGTTTGGTCGGTTAGAAATCGGCTAGTCCTGTTTGTGCTGCTTGTCGTGCTGCACAAATGTGCAATGTAGCTTAACTGCATTCATTGAAACGTTGTTACTAAGTTGAAAAGGTCTGCTGCAACTGGATGCAATCATGCGGCTTTGATTGTCTCTATCCATAGTTCATGGTTTCTCTCAAATATTATGTCAGCTAATATGAAGATAGGTAGTGAATGCTAGTGCTTAATGCTTATGTCAGCTAATTTAAAAGGGGGATCGATTATAGTATTTACTGTGCTAGAAATGAGTTCTCTACATGCTTCTCGATTTTGATTATTCACCTAAGATAGCAGACAATGTATTATGAGAATTGAGCAATGCAATCAAGGTTGCACCACCGCTCAATGTGCTAGATCCTTAAGTCAGCTGAAGTACAAAGCACATGAAAAGTGAGTAGGAGAGAAACACTGACACACCAAACAGGAGTGTTTAGGCCTAACACATTGCGCTGTGAATTGCTTGAGGCATTGTGCCGCACCTCACCTCATGTCACCATACCCCGTAGGCACACAATTTAGATTGCGTTTAACTTTATGTGCCTGTTGATGATTCCATATTGTTCCTTCATAGATTTGGAACATGTGTTAATAAGTTCTATTGCATTGGTCAACTTGTCTGAAGGCCAGAACAACATGCTGATCTTTAAGATATCGAAAACGTGACTACAATATGTAGCCACTCAGTTCGCACTCTTAGAAAACAAAGTCCAATAGTCATTGATGTAAACTAACTGCTTGTAAATCAGCTGATCAGACAACTTGGTATATTTTCAGAATTGTCCTTGTAACAGCTTATACTCCCTACACTGATGCAGATTTGTTGAGCTTTTGTGGCAACTCTCTGTACATGCCTTGAGGGAAGTCCATAGGAGAACATTTGCGGCTGATGTAGCATCAAATCCACTGCCGGCAGCACTCACAGACGTTTCTTATCTTCATGCAGCTGCATTACTTCCTGTAACAAAGGCAAGGATAGCTTGCTCTTAAATTTTCGGAACTGTTAATTTATGTTATATCGTATGGTGACCCTCTTTTAGGACTACCTTCTTCCCTAAAATGCAAATCATTTATAAAGAGAACATGAAGTCCTAAAAGTTCTTATCAGTACGAAACTTTTCTAGACTGGCGAGTATTTTGTTTGGTATACTTTAATTTAATGCTGGGGACTTCGGGCACCTCACATGAGGTACAGTTTGATTTTTTGATGCGAGACCAATAACGTGGATACAGCAGGCTTCACTACTTCAGTCTTAGTTGTCTTTATGCACAGCAATTCAGTTTAGTGAAGCAAGATTTATCTCTTCCTTTCTTGAGCATGACAAGATAATATACCCCTTAGCAAGCTAACTTCTTTGTTGAAACCTGATGACTTCACTTGCCTGTAGAATTTGAGTATGATTCCTCTCCAGTAAGTATATTCTTACCTAGGAAATAAACACAACAGAATAATTTGAATCTTGTACAAGATGCAAACTCAATGAAGCTAGTAGGCTTGTATAATAACTGATGGGTACACAAACCATTTTTAGATCCAGATATACGCTCCGTTTGGCATTGAGGCAGATTGTTATAATATAATCATGATATGTTGAACTGCTGTTGGATTATGATTGTTTGGCTGCTCGCTTACTTAGTCATTTTGCAAATGTACTCTTCTTTTCGTTGTGGAAGATGCAAGATGAAATGTGAGAGGAAAACCATTAGTCAACCTGATTTATGTACATTTTATTTGGCTTCTAAGGAAGAGTAGTGGATCCTTTTTGAGTTCTTATATGCAGTAGCTTAGCGAATACACACATCACAACACGGTTCAGCAACAACAAACTGAGCCTGATAGCATAATTTATCCAAACACATGGACCACCTTTGCTACCATTAAGGAAATTTGGTCTCTGGTGTTTGTCCTTGTAGTAAAAACACCCGGTTATCTCAGGGCTTATTTCTCTTTATGAGTTTATCTGCGAGTTCATATGTGATATTCCTAACAGGCAAGGATTGCTCTTGAGAGGCGTAAATTTCTTAAAAATGCAAACATTGCTGTTCAAAGGCAGACAACCTGGTCAAATTTAGCCCATGAAATGACAGCTGAATTCCGAAGTCTATGTGCTGAAGAGGTACAGGGTAGCTTCTATACAGTCCATTCAGATGGTTATGTTTTGGGTCCTGTTTTCATTTCTTATGATGTTTGCATGGAGCTTTCAGGCATATCTGCAACAGGAGTTAGAGAAGCTACAAGATATGAGGAACAAAGCCAAGCTAGAGGGGGAACTGTGGGACGAACGTATCTCAAGCTCATCTGGACAGAATTCACATTTGGTATCTAAGGCAACACGTTTGTGGGAATCGATATTGGCTCGCAAAGGTACAGTCAATGAAGTATTGTTTCCAGAATATGTGTGTCCAGCATGCTCAAACTACCCATATCATGCACGACAGCATAATGTTTTAGCTTCTTCTAGATAGTAATGGAAATACCCTTGCAGGTCAGCATGAGGTTTTAGCTTCCGGGCCAATTGAAGATCTTATAGCACACCGTGAGCATAGGTGTGATCCACTTTCTGTTAAACTTTACATTTTGATCCAAATATCCTTAATCATCACTATTCACCTTGTTCCACAAAATGCGTTCTTTTAGGTACCGTATATCTGGATCACAATTGCTAGCAGCAATGGATACAAGTTCAAGCATCCCGCATTCTGAATTACTATCAGCTCGAGCTGGTGAAACGTCTCAAATTTTGGATAAACAGGAGCAGATATCTTTATTCCAGGGAAAGGAAGAAGCTCTTCCAATATTAGATGATAGGAATGGGCGTGTCCAACAAACTGTTGACGTAGCTGAAATTCTTCGACGTTGGACTCATGCTTTGCAGCGTATTCATAAACAATCTCTTCATTTGGTAAGCAATTGTTTAATTTGTGCAGGGTTAAAAAAAGCACCAGGTTAAATTCCTAGTCTTGTATGTGCCTAGCAACTTTCTTGCCTAAGCACACACCTAGGCATGCTTAAGCACATGCCTAGCAGTCTAGCAGCTAGGCGTTCTGCAATTGCGGAGGCACACCTTTTTAAACCATGAATTTATTTAATCTCGCAGCATGATCGAACTACCAGTTTTACCAGAGCTTACACTCTAGAGAGAGAATATCACAACATGGAAACCAAGTTTTGGTGGAAAGTGGAAACCGGTGAAAACTACGTGGAAATAATGTTTTGTAGTTTTGAAAAAATCGTAAAAAAAGGGATGTTAAGAGTGATGTCCTATTAGCATGTGAAATTCCTAAGTTCAAACACATTACCATTTATGAGGTATGAAAAAAAGATTAAAATCAGCATTGAGTAGGTCAAACAGTAAACATCACTATTCATTCCTAAATTTGTTCTTTTCATAGCTTGTAGATGGTAATGTGTTTGAACTTGGAATTTCGTATGGAAAATTGGGAATAGAACATCATTCTCTTAACATCCTGTATTTTTCTCAGATTTTTTTGAAACTTTCAAACGTGGTTTCCATAAAGTTTTCTTCAAAACTTGGTTTCCATGTGATATTCTTCTCTCTGCATTCTAATATGTTGCAGTCATTTTATTAAATATTAATTTAAACTCATTGATCTTATGGAAGCATCAAATGTCATGCACTGTGAGTTGTGAGTAAACTATTCCTATATATTAGACCAGCTTTTTTCTGCACAATGCTGTTATAGTTTTCCATCAAGCGGTACAAAGTTATAGCTCATGTTCTTTCTGTGTAATATTGGGTAAAAAGTGTTGTCAATTCTCTTGGTCACTACGGTAAAAGAATTTTGGCACCTATACAAAGTTTAGCATCACAGATTATGTGCTAACATTGGTTTCTAATCATCAGTAATTTGAATATGTCCCACACATATATATTTTTAGCTCAAATGTTCTTTTTCTAAATGGGGTCAACATTTCAATTTTTTCGACTGGGAGAAAGTTCAACCTCCCATTAGATTTGTTCAATTTGAGAAAATGCCACGGCTTTCCTGGGAGTTTGCCCCTATAGCACACCTTTCTTTTTATTAGAGTAAATAGCACATCTTTGATTGATACTTGGACAAAATACCACAAATGATCTTTTTACTGCTTTTCCACGTTCAGACCCACAACTCATTTTTGCTAGGACGGATTTACCCTCAGGCCGTTTCCACGATCAACACATGACAGATAAAAAAAGGAAATGATCAACGCAGCAGATGCAGACCAGAATGAAGCACCGTGCCGCCGCCTTGCCTGCCTCCTCCCGGCGAGCCGCCACCTCGCCGTGCCTCCTTTCCACACCAGCACATAGCCATTCCTTCCTTCCGGGCGCTCCGCCGTCGCCTTACCCTATTTCTTCTCCTCCTCCGACGCTCCATACGTACATTCTGCCACCACGACCGACAGGTTGCCACTCCTCTCTCTCTCTCTCATTTGGTCTAACATGTGTCCTGAGGAACCCTAGACCATGGAGATTATGGTGGAGAAGCAGAGCTAGTGGGCAGGCTTCACAAGTGCGTGTAGAACGTGCTGTCAAAAGTCGGAACTTTAGGTGAAAATGCTGTCAAAATTTTGATTATATCCATATCAACTGAACTGTTACATTCACTCAATCTGAAGTTTGATTACATCCATATGAAAACGCTTCCATATCTTCTTGTAACAGTTCCTCTACATCTAAAGCATCAACACGTGAGAAAGTTGTTAGTCTGTGCCACTAGTATTTGATTTGAGCCGTCTGCTAGCAAGATAATAAGTTGAGCAACGAGTAGCTCCAGCCAACATGTACAGCAACCGCCAGTCAGCCAGTACAGCGACCAATAGTCAGCCAGTTTGTACAGCTACACCTGGACAGGGGACGCGCTGCGGGGCACTTCAAGAGTCGGCGCCTCTCTTCTTTGGCAAGACGGAGGGGCTGGAGCGCAGTGGACGGCGCCGCTTCCTGCATAGGAACGGGCAGATCGCCAGGGAGGAGACACAGTGAGGCCGGCGGCTCACGGAGAGTCATGGCGAGGCAGCAGCGTCGGGGAGGACCGGAGGAGGCATGGCGAGGCGGCGGCCCACTGCTTTGTCTATCTGCCAAGAAACGATTGAAACGACCAGGAGGGCAAATCCGTCCTAAAAAATATGAAGTGTGGGTCTGGACGTGGAAAGGACGAAAAAACACAATTTGTGGTGTTTTATCTAGCTATCAATGAAAAGTGTGGTATTTAATCCAACAAAATGAAAAGTGTGCTATAGGAGCAAAGTGCTAGGAAAAGTGTGGCATTTCCTCAAATTGCCCTTAGATCTGCTACAAACCACTATAAGATTATTGCACAATAATAAGCTGTGGAATTATAAGACACACATCGATTTTGAGGAGTACAGACAAACAACATCATCTGTGGCACAACCTGCAAATAGTCAAAAGGCCTTGAGCCTCCAGAACTATCAATATATTTACAGTGCTAGAGATGGCAAAGAACTGCTTTGTCCCTATTAATATGCTGGCCTCTCTTATCTTTAGTGGTTTTCTCAGTTTCAGTGTTTCACTATGGCTCGTGCCCTTGTGCAGCAGTAGCATTTTTATGCTAAGTGACACACCTATTAACCTGGAGATAACTCATGAATTGCCGCAGTCTATTTCACTTGATGGCCATTTTATACAATATAGCAGCATTCTTTGGTAACCAAAATTTAGCATCGAGAGCTCCTGCCACGTCCCTGTTTTTCATGCTTCAAGGTCTACCAACTTCTGCAAAATGTTAATAGCCATATTTAGTTCAAATTTTCTGCAATGTTCTTCCAGTTCTTAATTGTTTCAATCTTTCAGACCATTGTTTCTCTCATGTTTTGTGTGGTTGTTCTGTACCTTCTGACTTGATTTCATTTTGGTTAGTGAAATCTAGCCGGCAATGCCGGTATAGTGACGATGCATCATTTTCTCTAAATCATTGATATTTTATTTTGGGTCAAGTATAACCACCTATGAAGAATTATATGATTAAATTTTTAATAGACCACAAGACAAACGACGTATTAAATGGCCCGTGGACTGGACAATATTTAGAAACAGGGACATTTAATCCCCATGTGTTTTTCTTTTCTTATAAAGATGAAAATAACCTTACATACCACCCATGCATATTTCTGCATTGGTGGTGTATTGATGATAGATCGGTATTGCATAGTGGTATTGTCACATCCTGAAGTACAGGCACATCACATGTTCTGAACCAATGTATTCGGTTATAACTTGTAACATACAGCCAACTAATGGTGTAGGCCAAAGCAAATGATGGGGAGGGGCCAGAATTACTCCGCAGTGCGTCTGACAGCGAAACTAGTAGCCATGCCGACTCATTAACTGCAACATTGGCCGAACATCGCCAGCATTTAGTCAGTATACAGGTAATAAGAACATCCATCAGAAGCTATGCTGTTTTCTCGATTTATCTGTTGTAAGCATGGCTTGCGAAGATGCACCTCATTTACAGATTTTACCGAGGACGACTTTATGTGGCATTTGACTGATTGTTTAATCATTTGCCATTATTTTTCCTTTTCTAGGGCCTAATTAATCAACTCAAGGAAGCTATTCCAGCAATGCAGCAGTCAATAACAAAACTTTCTGAAGAAGTTAATAGTGTACCTAGTAATCTGATGGATCAAACAAACTCCAGACAGTTGTCTGTCCAAAATACAGTGCTTGGAAGACCAGAAGTACGAAATCACTCTCATTTGCATGATTCTACTGTTTGATGATTTATCGTATTTCCTGTTTAACTTGTTCAATATGGACAAAAATGCAACAGCTGTTCTGATTGTATATATTTCCTTTGTACTACTGTCATTCCTCGTGTTCATACCAGAATATTTGGTTTCTTTCATATCATTAGGGTTGTTTGCTATGAGGAACACCTCCATCCTGGTAATAATATAATTGCTGAAAGGTAAAAAATTTGGGTTGTCACCGTTGAATCCTAGGATCCAAGAGGCTTGCGTTTTGGTTGGTGCAATGGGGTGAACTCATGCTAGCATTGACTATTCATGAAGGGCAGAAGTGTTGACAGCAAGAGGCTGTCACATGACTATGGCCCCAATCCTTTCAATGAGTGAGGAGATATTCTAGCATAGGGGCATTTGTCAAATCAAATGGACCATTGTTTTCTCACAGATCATCACATGGCACCTTTTCAGTGACATTATAAACACCGTAAACTTGCAGGTTTCGGCCACATCACCCCCTGAACTTCAAAATGGCTTGCTTAATCCCCCCAACTTCCAAAAACCGGACAAATCACCCCGTAGCCCACTCGTATGTTTTTTTAGTGTTTTTGCCTCTGTGGGACGTGATATGGCAGCCACCTCAGCCAAAAAATGTCCACATACGTTGATCAAGGCCTCCGTGTTCGGTGCCAATGCCTGCGTCATGCTGACAGATAAGATGGAGGACGCACGCCAAGAGCCGCCAGCCCTCATCATCGCGGCGCGTGCGTGCAGCAGCAGTCTTGTGCCTCTGCGTTCCCACGGCGTTCTTCCTAGCAGCACAGCTCACTCCAACAGCAGCCGTCTGCTCCGATGCTATTTTCGTCTTGCAATCGGGCGTGGCGTTCTTGACGGCTTCCCCTACGTCATCGACTCTTTGGCCCTGCCTGCAGGACGCCGTCGTCGTGCCAGTTCCAGCGAGCTTTGCGGCAGCGGTGGCTCTACGCCGGAAGACGCGCTGCAGGGGCCTGTGGATGCGTCACATGCACCAAATGGGAGCGGCTAAAGCTACGAGCTCACCTGTGTCAGTCCGGGGTCACAAGGCTACCGGAGATGGCACCATGATCGCCGCCGGCGACGTTTGGAATGAGAAACTGGAGCAGGCGCTAGAGAGACAGCTGGAGGGAGAGGGAGGAGTCAGTGAAGGAACCGGGAGCTCACCCTGAGTTCGAATTCGTGCTTGGACGAGTTCGTGAACAACCGAGGTGATGGGGCCGCATCTGCTGGCATCTGGGAGGGGCTTTGGGTTTTGGTCGGGAGGATTCACCAAGGCACCAGGAGCTTCTATAGGGCACCATAAGTGCTCAGAGAGGACGACCGCGAGGGGGTGTTGCGGCAACGCTCGCCGGAGCCGAGAGAGATGACGGCGCCGGCCCAAATCCCTGCACCAAATCAAGGAAGTGGAGGACCAGTGAGCTCGCATGGAGGCAGGAACCTCTCAGCCGTTTCCTGCCTTCTTTACGTGCCTCTGCTGAGCCTTGCTGACAAAACAAAACAACCTCCACATAGGCAAAACCACTCACGAGGGTGCTAGTGGGTGATTTGTCTGGTTTTTGGAAGTTGTGGGGATTAAGTCAGGTATTTTGGAGTTCAGGGGGTGATGTGGCCCAACCTGGAAGTTTAGGGGGGTATGTACATTTCATCTTTATTAAATCTCTATGTTAAGAGTCTCAGCGTGCAAAACATTTTTTGCACCTTTCTCTGTTTATTTATTCACATGCTTTCTAATTACTTATTTACTTTCAAGCAGGAAAGCAGCGGCGAAGTTTCAGAGGTGACTTCTAAGCTCTGTTCAGCACAGATCGGCAAGGCTGGGAGTAGTCCTGCTCTAAAGCTACCTCCTCTATTTAGTCTGACTCCAAGTTCTTCTGGAAAAGGAGCACAGACACAAAGACGGAATGGCTTAGCACACCAACCTAGGCAAGAAATTATGCCTGAAGAGAAAGCACTTACCCACCCCTCAGCCAAAGATCAAGCAAATGGTTCGATGCATGGTATTCATATCTTAATACATAGGCTAGATCAGCTTCTTTCTTAACTGAAAACTGTAGGGAATGCCTAACTGTAAAAATATGCTTCTTCTTTATGTTATTATTTTGCTGATTATAATCTGCTTTTGATGAGTCTTGTTTCATTTAATTATTAGCTACTCTATATTCTCTTTGCAGAAAATGATGGTTATTTTGCTCATGACATCAGACGTTCTGTTCGTGAAGCTGCTCTATCAAAGCCATTGAGCAACATGGAGAGTCCACAGGACAAGAGTAGTGATGATGGTTCAGAGCACTTCTTCATTCCCCTATCAACAGGTGCTGCAAGGAAGGATGTGGGTGCTGTGGCAAACCGAAGAAAACAAAAGATAGGTCCATCGTCGTCACAGTCGAAGTTACCCAAGAGCACAAGCGATCTTTACTTCAATCCTGACAGCCCAATGCATACAACCCCAGCTGTGTCAAGTAAACTGAATGGCCATGACGATCCAAGCAGTGCTGCAAACTTTTTTTATCCAGTCAGTGGTCAGTCGTTTATGACAGATGATGCTCTTGATCAAGTATTCTCCCCGCCACTTCTGCTGGAGTCTTCCTTGTTCCCCGACGCGTACGAGGACTTGCTTGGTATGTCTTTACAAGCTTGTTAAAGTAATTATGTGTATGCTGTAACTAAACCAGTGCTACTTTTGTAAGTAGTTGTGTTGTCTGAATTGATCTAGAAAAGGATAAGGTTTGCCGCACCCTTTTCTGTTTCAACTCACTTGTCTGTTTTACTTCCTGTTTGAGACCAACTGATACCTTGTCTGTTTTGCAGCACCATTATCAGAAACTGATGCAGCTTTGATGGAACATTAGGCTTCACGTGTATACCATGTAATACTTTAACCACCCTGAAGCTTCAGTGCTTAACTGCAGCCCAGAGGTTCTGATGGCTTATTTCCAAGTGCGGATGGCACATACGGAGTGAATTCTGTTGCTTGTTGAGTTGCATGCCAGTTGCCACCAGCTTGTGAGAGGGATGCTTGTGCATCCTATGTTGGATCTGGAGAGAAGGGCGGCAAGGGGTAGATGGTATGGGATGGGACAGTAGGATGTACCGACTGCCAGTAAAAGGTTGCCAATCTTATGTTAGTACACATGATCTGTATTTGTGTTGTAGTAATTTTATATCCTCTTATTGAAGTTGCTGTTTTGATGCGTCCCAATTGTTATCCCCCATGTCTTTAGGGCTGCGAGGCTATTGGCATGTGCTGGATTGATAAAATGTTTGTTTTATTTCGAAAGGAACTCTGTTAGTTAATACTAGAAGGGTGATTTTCAGTACAGTAGTAGGGTTAGTGTATATATGTTATCCTTCAAATTTTGTGAAGCTTCTTTCCTTGCACACTTTTTTATTGTAAAGATGAGTATTCTTGTTGAACAGTGCATACTAGTGGTAATGCAAATGACGTAATGTTGATGTTACAATATTCATTGCAGTTACGCAACTATTGTGTTTTCTACTTGCTTGAGTTTGTATACTACAAATCCAAGTGCAGTGTTAACTTGCTTGAGTTCGTATACTACTGATTCAATATAAGTTTTCTGTTTTAGTAGCACCAGACACTGCTGCTTTTCACCGAGGGGGTGATGCAAAAAAATCACCTTAAACGGAGCACCAGTAGTAAGTTAATAATCGCAATACAGCCTCCGAATCTAGTTACCAACAAATTGTTGGTCACATGTATTAAACATAGGTTCATACTTATCAAAAATACAACATAGCAGCAGCACAGCGAAATAAAAATAGTATACCAAGCAAGGTACGTTTCACAATATGTTAAATTATCAACCACAATCAACTGCTCATTTTTCAAGGAACGGACTACAGGACATGGTCCTTATATTTACAGCTTCAACTCTGCAAATTTATCCCTTTCGCTGCAGATGTCATCACTACAGAAGTTTTGGCAATGAGAGACAGTCTAGTATTTGCTAATTCTTTCGGATTCAATCGTGTGGAAGCGGAATCAGACTCTTTACAGGTTATTAACTTTTGTAATCGTCAAACTATCGTGGGACTCAGCAGCGGCAATCTTCGCAGAATGTGTGGATACTAGTTCCTTGATTGGGAAGGTCATTTTCAAGCATTGTTATCGCTCTTGTAACCAAGCAGCTCATGTGCTAGCTAAATTTTGTTTCTGTAATAAATCCTCCTTTAGTTGTTTGGGCGAGCCTCCCGACTGTATTGTCAGTAAGCTCATAGACGATGCAAACATTGTTTAATTTTAATAAAGCTAGCCATGATGTCCTTCACTCGAAAAAAACAACAGATTGTTTGTCTTGCAGGGTAATTATTTTCACAAGGATCGACTAAGACACAAATGAGACCCAACAGAATAGGGGTACTCCCTCTGTCCGAAAAAGCTTGTCCCTCAAATGAATGTATCTAGCACCAAGTTAGTGCTAGATACATCCATTTGAGGGATACGTTTGGGACAAGCTTTTTCGGATTGATGGAGTACAAACTAAGTGCTTGCAATCAAAAGTTAATTAGGAAGGTGATGGTTAGTAGCATGCAATTGGAGTGAGAAGGAGATGTTGCAACTGAACCTAACTGAGGTCAATTTCGACCCACTCCGGGGTTCCCCTCTCACTGTCTTGTGCGACAAGTTTAGTACCTAGCTGTCCTTTATCCCCTACGTCGAAATCATAGACTTTGCCTGACTCTATCAGTGCAAATGTATGCGCATTCCAGTATATGGAATTCATAAGGCTGACCTGCACCACCTTCTCATTCATACTCTGCCGAAGTCACCTGCTCAGGGCTAAGGACGTTGCTATGCCTGTTGTTACCCTGGAAAAGCACATATATATGGTAAAGAAAATGACGATTGATTCAGAAGTAGCAAGCTAAATTGGAGAGGACTAAAAGGACTTGTATCAACAAATCTGATCTTTTTGCTTATTCTTACAACGCAAACTAAAGCAATTATCTTCAAACTGAAGATTAACAGTGCCGTAAGAGGTTAACCAACCGAACAAAAACATAATATTAAACAATACACACAAAAAATCACTCTATAACTAATAAATTCTAGATACAATAGTGCACATCCAATAGTCTCGTGATGGCTAGCTTTCTACGGAAACTTCAAGGAATAGAACTCTATTACATGATCATTGCAACAACTGGCATATCAGCTATACTTGTAGCCACAATCTTCCACGGTGTTATACTATGTGCTATTTCCCACAGAAAAATCTAAACTTTGATCAAATTTTTTCTTTCTTCACTATCTTAGGAGTTACAATCGAACAGATAATTAATACAAAACTCAAAACCAAATCCCTCTCGTAAATTTAGTCGCACAAATTGTTTTTGCTTACACCCTATATGGATATGGACATAATCCCTAAACTCAAGCATCCGCCATTGCATGTGCATTAGCTCTTCCTTGTATGATCATAATGTGCAGTCTAAATTTTAGGTAATACCGAGGATTTGTAATCCCAAAAATCAACAATATAATCTTAATATAAAATAGAAACTACCACAAGAATCCCGCATTGATGATCAAGTAGGCCAACCAAACTAATACATACAGAACCAAATTGAATTGCATGTTTGTTAAGCACTTAGGAGGTGTGCTAGATAGTGCCTAGCCTCAATTGTAGTGTTGTGGCCAAGGCTTGATGACTCACCACATCCAAACAAGTAAACATCACCTTTGCATGACACAATAAGTGTGGTATAATCTCTAGTTGGTACATAAAAAACCTTCACACAACCACCTTGGGAACAGACTCACATTCCTCATTACCATGACCCAAGCAGCCATAACGTCCCCATCCCCAAGTGCAAACTCATCCATCCTTGCCCAGAACAGCAGCATGCCAAGCACCAGCAGCAACAACCATTGGTTGTATATTCAGAGTCCGAAACTGCTCAATCAATCTAGGGTATTTCTCATCAGTTCGGGTGCCATGGCCAAGCTTTCCTCCTAAACCACAACCAATAGAATAAACAGACCTGCCATTAAACTAAGACCAACCATTAGAATACTATCATGTTAGACTGTTCGTTCATATAAATAAAAACACAAACAATAGCTCATAAAGAATTTCAAAGCCTGTAAATATTACTTCATCGTAATAAGAAATCAGTTCTCGTCATTTGAGAGTCTTTTTCTTCAAGGGTTATGATGTAGGGTGGAACCCTAGGGCTGATCTTTCATGATTTGGAGGGGATCCCATGAAAAACACGATGAACACACAAGGGAAAACATGAGGGGAAACGAGAGGAGACACTCAAATGATCACACATGTGCTAGATCCATGAACACAAAGAGGTCACAACGATCCAAAGATAACAAAGGAAGGATACAAGTAGCTAGTTCTTCTCCAAGAGGAGGTCTTGAATTCACTAGGGGATCTTCCCTTTCGGGGTCTTGAATCCACTTGGGATCTTCTCCGCAGAGGCCTCGGTCTCCAATGGAGTATGTATCAAGTGGATGGGCAAAGCTCTATCTCTCATATGAGCTAAACCAATGCTAACCCTAGAAAAGTGGAGGTGGAGTCATATATATAGTCTAGAGGGGCGAAGGGGTACATGGGCCTCGGCCCAACACTCTGTGCGCAGACATGTGTCGGTCGTCCGGTGGCTCGTGAGGGTCCGGTCGTCCGGTAGGGATCGGACGTCCGACGTTTGGCTCAGATGGGTCGGCGTTGGATTTCCAGTCGGGGTCAGATGTCTGGTCGTCATTCATCCTAAGGTCTTCAGACTTCCGTTAATTTCTCTTCTATTGGGTGACACTGGATGTCCGAAGGGGCTCGGTCGTCCGGAAGCTGGGAGGTGTCGGACGTCCGATCCGTGACGGTCGTCAGGCCGCTGTAGCGTACGCTAGCTGGGACTTGGGCTGGCTGGCTGGCCCTTCACGCGTCGGACGTCTAGCTTGGTCCTGTCGTCTGGTGGTTGTACATTTTCTGGCAGCTCCTCTTCTTGGTCCTTGTACTTAGTGCTCTCGTCGTCTTGTCCATTGGATGTAGTTGTTCCGTGGCTTGCCTCTAAGTACCTGATCACACATAGGGTCTCCGCTTGATGTAGTAGCCATGTCTCACATGTGGAAAGTGGTAGTTCGGAGATGAGGGAGTTCACCTTAGTTTCAATAGCCCTTGCCCGAGCTCTAGTCATTGGTCCATGTGGTGTCGTGGGAGACGTAGGTAAGTCCATGGGGATGACCATAGGATGCTCCGCATCATCTCCCCCCTTGGGAAAGATCCGACCTCGGATTGAAAGCCTCATTACCATGGTAGGGAGAGAGATCTTTGAAGTTGAAGATGTCGCTCACGGAGTACTTGTCACGTGGGATGTCGATCTTGTAGGCATTGTTGTTGTAATGTGCTAGCACCTTGAAGGGGCCGTCGGCTCGAGTTAGAAGCTTGGACTTGTGTTCGTTGGGTAAGCCGTCCTTGCGAAGGTGTAGCCACACAAGAATTCCGGTGTTTAAAATCATGGGATTCTTGTTGATGTCGATCTTGGTCGCGAGGCGTTGTACTTGGCGCTTGATGGTGTGCCCTGTATCTTCATGCACTTTCTTGAGATAGCTCGCTCATGTACTCACATCCATGTTGATGCGCTCTTGTAATGGTAGCAGTAGAATGTCCAATGGGGACAATGGGTTGAAGCCATAGACGACCTCGAAGGGGGACTTGCGAGTACTCGAATGTCTTGCGGTTGTAGGCATACTCGGTGATGGGTAGACACTCCTCCCAGTCCTTGATGTTCTTCTTGATCAACACACATAGGAGAGTGGATAGCGTCTGGTTCGTGACCTTCGTTTGGCCATCGGTTTGTGGATGGTATGCTGAGGAGAATAGGAGCTTGATTCCGAGCTTGGCACATAGCGTCTTCCAAAAGTAGCTTAGGAACTTGACGTCACGGTCCAACACGATAGTCTTGGGCACTCCATGTAGACGCAAGATTTCCCTACAAAAGAGGTTGGAAACATGTGAAGCATCATCTATCTTGTCGCATGGAATAAAATGTGCCATCTTAGAGAAACGGTCCAGAACAACAAACACATAATCTTTGCCATTTCTAGTTCTAGGCAAACAAATCACAAAGTCCATACTAATATCTTCCCATGGGTGATACGAAACAGGAAGTGGCATATAGAGACCATGGGATTGAGCTTTAGACTTAGCTTTGCGACATGTAGAGCATCGGTTTGTGTAGCGGGAGACGTAGCAGGACATCTTGGGCCAAAAGTAGTTCTTTGAGAGCGTAGCGAAGGTCTTGTCGCGTCCGAAGTGTCCCATAAGTCCTCCATGAGATTCTTGCAAAAGCAACAAATGAAGAGAAGACTCAGGGGTACATACTTTGTTAGCTCTCATAAGATAATCATCTTTGATGTAATAGTGTTCCCAAGAAGTATGCGTCAAACATTTGGCATAAGGAATAGCAAAAGTAGGGTCATGCACATACAAGTCTTTTATGTGCTCAAAGCCAATGACATTCAATTCAAGTTGAGTAACTGTAACATCCCAAATTTCCAATTTGGAATGTTATACATAACTCATTCATGCAT